AGAGTGTGATAATTCCATGGCCCCCACATAAGTGAATGATACACCTATTTGCCCTTCGGTGACTGGGTTATTTCACTGCACATAACATCCTCAGGGTTCATCCATGGTAGCGTGTGTCTGAACTGCCTTCCTGCTTAAGGCTGAATTGCATTCCATTGTTTGTATACACCACGTTTTGTTTATCCATTCATCCATGGATGGACATTTGGGTTGTGCCCATGTTTTGGCTGTTGTGAATCATGCTGCTACACGCAGCCCAGGCACTACCTGTCACACCCCAACCTCAGAGAATCAGCAGACTACCATGTGGCCCATCAGGTCGCTAGGTCAGATGCCACTCCCCTGGCAGGGAGAAAGGTGCCTGTGGCCACCGACTTCATAAGGTTCCACAGCTCCACACTGGCACATTGCAGGAGGAATTTCAGTGTTTAATTCCAGGCTATTTCTCTGAGTCTTAGGTTCTGGGATAAACAAGCTCCTTCAAGTCCAAACTGCTCAGATGAGACTTTACTGCTAGATTCCACACCTAGAATCCTGCCCTGGGACTGCAGTTCCATCCATCAGCCCCTGAAGGCTTCTTCTAAGCTGGAGAGTCTTAGCAGGGAGGGGCGAGGGGTACTCCATACCCAGGGGACACCACCCACAGGAGGCTTTTGGACATGTGAGGGGCATATGTGGTTGTCATAATGATTGGGGGACACAGTTGCTATTTAATATGAGGCCAGGGACTCAGGTGACCTGCAGTATGTGAGGCAGTCACCCCCAACAAAGAATTGGCCTGCATCCTGAACCAATTTCAAACAACCCATTAACATTCGTCTAACCTTTGTGACCTAAGTGCCACCTGCCTCCCCTACTTCCTCTCCCTCCATTCTCATGCTTAAAGATAAGCCGTTTTCTCTGCCTGAAACAAATGTCTGCTTTTCCCCTTTGTCTGATATGTAGGGATTCTTTCTCTCTTTCTTTCTTTCTTTCTTTCTTTCTTTCTTTTTCTCTTTCTTTCTCTCTCTCTCTTTCTTTCTTTCTTTCTTTCTTTCTCTTTCCTTCTTTCCTTCTTTCTTTCTCTTTCTTTCTTTCTTTCTCTCTCTCTCTTTCTTTCTTTCCTTCTCTTTCCTTCTTTCCCTTCCTTCCTTCCTTCCTTCC